CTTAACAAGGCTAAAGATGCATTCACATGCAAGCGTCAAGCATCAATCAGCGGAAGCAGCAACCAATCAACGAGACGATTTTTACAGTGGCGTAAAAAATATTTTTTACACCACTATCCGTATCGCCCAGCTGATTGGTTGCTGCTTCCGCTACTTGACGCTTGACACTTGCATGTAAATGCACCTTTCTGCCTAGTTCAGACTGGACGCGCAACTAGCGTCAAGCAGTAAAGCAGCAATCAACCAGCAAGGCGATATTTTTTACGCCACTGTAAATATCGTCTCGCTGATTGGTTGTTGCTTCGTTGCTTGACGCTTGCTGCGTCCAATCTGAACTAGGCATTAATAAAACACATGAGGTTTGTTCGCGTCGCATGATCCAACATATTACAATATGCTCCTACCATAGCTTCTACTCACTCCAACGTACTTATTGGAATGAGTAGGAGCTATGGTAGAAGCGCTATTTGTGTCTTCTATCTTCATCGTCCACTAGACGTGGGCTGCGGCCCACTTGACGCTACAAACGCTTCGAAGCGTTTGAGCGACCAATCAGAACAAAGAATTTTACGAATTGACTAATCAAAGAATGCTTCGAAGCGTTTGTAGCGTCAAGTGGACCGCAGTCGTGAAATAAGAATAGCATGACACAAATAGCGCGCTCTCCGAACCCAGCCAGAGTGAGTAGGAGCATGTTGTAGCATGTTGGAACTTGAGACGCGAACAAATCTATGGTTTCGAGATTGTAGGCAAAAATTTAATTGAATTTCACTTGTCAGAATAAAAAAGCATTTAACTGAGTTATGACATTACAAATGAGAATCTTGAAGCCGATGTCGCTTCTCTCACTCTCATATTCTCTTCTCTCACTTTCACATCCGGTTTCACACACATGGCAAAACCAATCACGGATTGAGTCAGCATTGGCCGATCTCTACTTATATATTATAGGATCTCTATATATTTATAGGATCTCTATAGATTGGTATCATTTGTTCGTTTCGTGCCAAAACGCGTCAAATGAACCAAATTTCATCGATTTCTAAGATAACGTGGTTAAAGTAAACAATTACCGAAGTTTGATTATTTTTCAATTAATGTTATTTTCAAGCAATAGATAATTGATAAAATTTACCAATTAGGCTAAGTGAAGTATAATTTTGAAGGAAGAAGGAACGGATACTTTAAAATTATTGATAAATTGATAAATTGCTGAATTGATAAATTGCAATTTGAATGCAATGGCTCGATTTAAGAAATGCACAGAAAAAGATATATCTGTATTACTTGAAACAAGTTCTGACTCAAGTGTTGAAGAATTAGATAAATCCTATGTTCCAAAAAAGAGTATGGATAATGATTCTTTTGACCTTTCCGATTCTGACAATATCTTTGAGAAGAACAAACTTTTCTTATTACAAACCAATGCATTGCAAAAGGAGCAAGCTTCTTTACGTCTGAAGTTAAGACGCTCTACAGAACAAAGTATGTATAAGATAGATACTGAATCAGAAGATGAAAAACTTAAGAGATCAACTAGAAATACAAAACGTCATTTGAAAAGTTTGCAAGATGAAAATCAAGTGTTACGTAAAGGTGCAAGAATTATAAAAGTACCTGAAAGATATTCAGATTATAAATGTTCTTCTAAACCACGAGTATCTGTTTTACAGAGAGATCAGATTAATAATGATGAAAAGAAACTATTGTTAAATTCATTGGATACTATTAATATGAGAAAAAAAGAAACTAATAAACATATAGTCAAAAGTGATGATTCAGATTGCGTTTGTATTTTTTTTAATCCAAAAACGTCATCTACAAAATCAAAATTAAAAGTTAATAAACAAAATCATGTTTATTCTATAGAAGATGTCAATGATGATACTACTCCTAAAGTTTATAGAACTAGATCAAAATATAGATTTCTTTCTGTAGATGAAGAATTAAAAAAAGACATAGATAAAGTATCACCTAATAACAAAATATATCTTGAAACAGATGCAAGACAAAATATTTCATTTGAAGATACACCTAAAACATCAAGAATTCAGAAGAGTACTCGTAAATCTATTTTAAATATATCTAATAAATATGAAACAATACCCAAAGATGAGAATAAGACTGATAAGATGGAAGTTATACACAAAGTTGATAAAAATTTATCTATAAAAACTAATCAAAGAAACGAAGCTATTGATTCCTTAATGGTACAAAATGATTTAAGTATTCCAAAAATTTGTGTATTAAAGCAGGGTACTTTGAAACCATCTATGAAAATGAGAACTGATATCCTAGCTAAACCAGTTACACCATTGCAAGAAATCAGAACTAAGTTGCATGTCAGTGCAGTGCCTAAGTCATTACCTTGCAGAGAAGAAGAGTTTAATAATATTTATACATTTTTAGAAAGCAAATTACTGGATAATAGCGGAGGGTAAGTTTGTCTGAACATTCCTTAATTTTTGTTGACATTTCTTTTTAGTATACTAAAATATATATATATATTGCAGAAGTATTTATATAAATGGTGTCCCAGGTACAGGAAAGACCGCTACTGTAAATGAGATTGTGAAATGTCTAAAGAGATCAGTCGAAAAAGGTAAATTAGATCGTTTTGATTTTGTTGAGATTAATGGTATGAAATTATCTGAGCCCCGGCAAGCCTATGTACAAATTTTAAAGCAATTATCTGGAAAAGTTTTAACATGGGAACAAGCATATAATATGTTAGAAAAAAAATTTAATAGCAGAACTAAAAGGCCAATGACGTTGCTACTTGTAGATGAGGTATATGTATATATGTATCTTATTCTTTATAACTTTATACATGTCTTTATACCGACGCCTGAGCCATAGAAGATGATATATAAAAAAAAACATGAAGAAAGATCCATATCAAGAAATGAATGAAAAGCGGTCTATTTCGTGTGAGGCTTGAAGATCGGTTTATGTCGGAATGTATACGAAGTATGGTTTATATCGAGAAAATAAGAAGAACGGTTCAAGTCCCATGAAATTAAAGAAGAATCTATATCATCGGGCTATAAAAAATTTCTAGCAATGTTTATCGCGAGAACTCTTTAGAAAACACTTAAACAATGTTAGAACTACATTATATCTGCGATGAAACAGTCAGATCTCTTACGAATCAGTCAGCATATCACCTGTACGTGCTCTTATGTACCGTTTTATGGCCAATTTCTTTGGTTTTATAGCCAGAACTATTGATATATTAAGTTTTAACAATAGAACTCTTTGGATTCTTGTACTTTACAACGCATACGTTCGAAATCCAGTGAGGTGCTAGATGGTAAGACGGGAAGTTAGCATCTCATTTTTTAAGTCCGGATCTACAGTAGATGTTTTAAGACTTAAGCCGTAAGAAATTGACCAATTATAGTTGAATTTGAAGGGAATAATCGACTATCATTCGTCCATTTCTTAAGATTTAAAACTCTATTGTAGATCCGGGGTAAAACGTTGTTTCTGAACATAATTCGATAGAACTATTGATAAATCCGATATAGAACTGCAGAACTATTGTGGATGCGAGCAGAACTGATGTCATTTTATGCGATGCTGATATGATATGCTAGCTTCACAGATGTCCTTCTACGGCTCAGGCATCGATACACATACATATCTATATTCTTTATATAAGATATATCATTTTTTATTTACATTTTTACTTTTCTGTTATCTATTATTTTCGAGAGGTTGGTTACGAGTGGTTTTAGTGTACAAAAATTACTCTTGATACGGATTATCTTTAAATTATCTCGGATTACTTAAGATTACCTAATACTATCTCAAATTATTCTAGATTATCAAATACTACCTCATATTACCCAAGATTACCTTAGAGTATTTAAAATTATTTCATATTTTCTGAGATTACCTGAGATTTTTCTAAATCTACTTTGCTCATCTAAGATTACCTTATACAAGTACATATATATTATTTCTTCAGATCACTCTAGAATATCTTCATAGAACATTGTGATAAATATCTTCGAGAACATCGATTTTAGATTTTCTGCTTAAGAAAAAAATGCAATTTTACAAAACAAATATTTATTGCATACAGGAACACAAAAATATATAAATTTTGCAAACACAGAATGTGTATTATATGTAGATAGTAACAAGTTCGACTAAGCGTAACGTTTAAGATTTTTTAATACTAACAAAACAATAATTGAATATAAATATTAATAGATTTATAAATTAAAAGATATTTTTAAAAAACACACCAATAGTAACACAGATTCTTTGTTAAATGATATCGCAACTTAATGTTAAATTAAAAATTTTGCGACTAATCAAGTTAAGTATAAATAAAAAGTATAATAAAAAGGTGAGAACGCTAAAGATTATTTAGATTTATCAAAAATTACCTTGGATTGCCCAAAATTTCGTTTGGATTACCGCTGAATTACCTAGCTCTTGTACAAAAATTACCTCAGTGACCAACCCCCCGATTATTTTGTTGTCTTTTAGATTTAATTTTTATTATTTTCTTTTTATTATCTTGTTTATTTGACTTACATTTTTATTGTCTTTATTTATTCTTATTATCTTAATTTCTAGCTTGATTTATTATGTACAAAACGACAGGATGTAATATATAATCTTTTGGACTGGCCTACAAAAGCCTCTGCTCGATTAGTAGTCATTACTATTGCCAATACTATGGATCTTCCAGAAAGAGTTTTAATGGGTAGAGTCACGTCGCGATTAGGTCTTACTCGAGTAACTTTCGAACCATACAATTATAAACAATTGTATGAGATAATATTAATTAGACTTAAAAACACAAACATTTTTGAAAATGAAATTATACAATTAATTGCACGGTAAGCATTGTTTAAAACAATATTTTAAGTCCAGCCCTTTTATTTAAATTTTTTTAATTTAAATATTGAACTAATACTTATATATATTCTTTAAATGAATGTATCTTAGAAACATGATTGCGCGCCGTTACTAGCGTATTTTTAACACAATTCATTTAAAATAATAATTCCCCAAATTTATATACATCTTAAAAAACCTGTAAAAAACTTATTGCGAAAATTATCTCCACCAGGAGTCAAACCTGGATCTTTAGCATTTCGAGCGTCCTAAGCCTTTAGACTGAGACCTTAGCAATATTCTTCGCAATAACCGTATATATAAAGAGTTAAGCGGGATCTACAATAGGGTTTTAAGCCTTAAGCCATAAGAAATGGGCGAATCACAGTCGATTATTCCCTTCGGATTTGACTGTAATTGGTCAATTTCTTACGGTTGTGATTCGCCCGTTTCTTATGGGGCTTAAGGCTTAAAACTCTATTGTAGATCCGGACTTAATCCGTAAGAATTTGACCAATTACAGTCGAATTAGAGGAGAATAATCGACTATGATTCGTCGATTTCTTAAGGTTTAAGGCTTAGAACTCTATTGTAGATCCAGGGTAAGGCTTCGGTAATCTAAAGGCTTGAGACACTAGCATGGAATGCTAGAGGGTTCGACTCTTGGACGATAATAATATTTTTCGCAATAATTTCTTTACAGGTTTTAAAATATATGTAATTAAATTTGGACGGATTATTAATATTTCAAATAGATTGTGTGTTGAAAGTCTGATAGTAACGACGCGCGATCATATTTCTCGTATAAATTCATTTAAGGAATACATATATGTATTAATTTAACATCTAACTTTGATCGTTAAGTGGCGTTTCTCGTACTTAGGTGATATAGGTCACATAAACGGTCTTATTTCTATAATCTTATTATTATTTCTTTATTTAAATAATCGATATTGATATATTTTATGTTTGTATCTATATTTTTATTGATGCATAATTTAATTATTACAAAATGTTCTTAAAATACTTAGCTCATTTTTATTAGTATTCTATGAATTATACTCATTTTTTTATAATAGTTAATTTTTATAATGAAACTGATAAAGTTTGATTAAACATTGTAAGCACATCTTATATTTTGTATTTTAGTAAAATATCTGCAGTATCAGGCGATGCTCGCCGCGCTTTGGACATTTGTCGTCGAGTGGCAGAAATTACCGAAACACGCAATAATACTACAGTAAGCATACAAGATGTAAATGAAGCTTTGTCGGAGATGATAATAAATCCAAAAGTTCAAGCGATAAAACATTGCTCAAAATTTGAGCAAATATTCTTGCAAGCCGTTTGTGTAGAAGTCAAACGAATTTGCGTGGAAGAAGTTTGTTTTATAAATGTTTATAGACAATTTGAATCTTTATGCTCCTTTGATGGTTTGTATAAAAAGAATTTATTAGTAAGAGAATATGTGAGAAAAGAATTATACTATTGCAATTTTTGTTTCTAGGTTACAAAACGCCTAATATAACTCAAACTCTTGATATTTGCGCAAAACTGGGTGATTATAGATTGCTAATATGCGAATATGCAAGTAACGATATACATAAAAAGATTCTATTAAACATATCAAAAGACGAGATGCATTATGCGCTACAAAAAGATTTTGATTAAAGATACGAAAAATATGTCTATAATTTATTATTAATTTTATTCTTAATTTATTTTATTTTGCAAAATGTAGTGCGCGTTTTTTTTATAAATTATTACAATTTACTCATTTCTAGTTCATACAAATAATTTTTTTTGTCATTGTAATAAAAAATTTATTAAAATATGAATACAGTTTTTAACCGTTTCAATTTCTATCGACATGTTATGTTGCGGGAAAATCGTATTGAACGAATATGTTTAAAAATATACAGCTTTCCAACTGTTATGAAATTTCGGTGTTGGAGTGTAACCATAGGATGAACACATGATTCGTAATTTTAAATTGTATGTTGCATTCGCTGAAGATAGTCGAAAGTTGCTAGAAGTTAGTCGAAACGTTCGAATAAATTCAATAGATATCAAGTTTGAAGAATATATTTTTATATCAATTCTTGCGCACTCATTACAGCGTCGATTCCTAAACGCCCTATTTTTATTTGTGTTTATTTTTAAAGTTTTAAAAATATTAAAATAATTATATAAAATATTAATCTGTATATAAATATGAAATACTGTGAAATAAAAATTTTCGAGCTTAAAGCGTAAACTTGATCTTCATTGAAGTCTCAGAAATTTATTCGTCTTGGGTTGTTTCACGGTCATGATGAGTTTGAAAAGAATCTTCAGGAGAGGAAGCAAGGAAAGATTTAGGATATTTTCATGTCTTGTAATTATCGTCCGTAAAGGAGAAGTCAGGAAATCTAAACATATTATTAAATATTTTAAGATCGATCAAATTTTTAACAGAGTTTATAACAGAAGAATTTAAAATTTAATTTTTATTTTGATAAAGAGAGTTATTGATACTATTACTTTGACATACATACATTTTTTCTAATATTAAATTGTGTAAAATAATACAACATATTTATACAAAATGAGACTATATAGTATAAACTTTCTTTAGTTACTTGCCATTCTAGTTAAATTGTTATCTTTAATATCGATAATAAATGAAGGAGAACATTAAATATGTATATATATATTGTTAGCTCATATACATATATGTATATACATATGAGCTACCAATGTAATATTTTACTATAATAACATTGTCAACAATTAATTCATGTCGTCATATACTGTGTTAGCGATTCATATAAATTGTAGCGATGAAAGTACTATGGCATTAAAATTTTCGGATGAAATAATTTCTCATACGATTAAAATTGTTTATAAGTTTTGCTGTTTGTATATGAATGACATTAAATATAAGTTGAAGAGACAATTGGTATTTTTATCGCTATAAATAACAATAATAGCCTCCAACTATTCCAGCCGATGAAATCCACTACAGATGTTTTAAATTGTGACGAATTTCTATTGTGTCTCTGAAAGAAAAATTAAGTTTTAGCGGTTTCCACCAAAACTAATTATGGAAACAAGCAAATAAAAAGGGAACAACACTGTAAAGAGAAAATAAATATGTTACATAGATTAAGTGAGTGGTCATATTACAATTAAGATAAAATATCTAAACTTGATAGATCTATTCAGTAACATTAGTAATTAACATAATATTATTCTGAGAAAATAATCTATTATTAAGAAAATAAGTATAAACTCGAGCAATTAATTTTATCATTACTCTTGCAAATATTTTAAAAATAACCTATTCTCAGACGTTAATTTATAAAAAATCAGCAAAATAATTTCATTCATTTCATAAAGCTTTGCATAATCATGGAAAAATATAAAAATAGAAAAGTAAAAAAGCCAAGTTCATTGTGGACTAAGAGAGAGAGAGAGAGAGAGAGAGAGAGATAAAAGATAAGATTCTTAATAAATCTTCTAAAGATCCTTTGCTCAAACGGACTTATTGCTAATTATTTATTCATGCTATCTACTAGAATTGTTCTGACCAGGACTCGGTCATATATCAAATAAATTTATTTAAAATATATATTTTAAATAAAAAAAATAAAAAAGTTATTTATTATTTATATTATTTTAAATAACTTCTGACCTATTTCTTATTTAATATTTTAAACAAATTTTTGGAATTTATTTTATATTTCTTATTTTAAATAAATCGTATCAATTATGTCACTGATTCGTCGGTAAAAATGACGGTGAATACTTAAGTAACGTTGGGTGGCGCGGTGTTTCTATCTGCGAGACCCGATAATCAAAGTCTGGACACATGAAAGTCCGACGTTTTTTTTCTAAATTGTGCGAAAGAGAAAAATATGTGCTATCTCATTCAGGCATTGCGTTGTAAATGTAGCAACTCTACAAAGGAGGATGCCCACCGTATAGGGGGGTTTCTGCCCTAGAGATGGAACCTCTGAAACCGATAAATTCATTTAGAGTATGATGAAATCTATCGCCCAATACCAAATTCCACTTTCTTATCGGCAAAGGAAGTTAAAAAAATCATGTTTAAAGTTTTACGCAGTGACGACGCAGTGGCGAGAGTGACAGAGAACGAGCGAGGCGATAGATTTCATCATACTCTAAATGAATTTATCGGTTTCAGAGGTTCCATCTCTAGGGTAGAAACCTCTCTATATCGTGGGCATCCTCTTTTCATACATCACGGACAAAATACTATTAAAGACGGTCTGGGCAAATTTTCGTGACTATCAATGGGGCCCCGGGAACCCGGGGATAATTGAAGAACGATGACATTATCGACAATTAATAAAAATTTTTTAATACTATTAACACAAATATTTCGATAATACATTAAATTCGTGATTTTTTTATTATATAAATGCTGTATAAATAATACGCATACTTTTAATACTATAATATTTTATATATTGCCGAAAAATTACAATTTTTTTCTCTGCAGTTATCATCTCTATTGATAATACTAGCCCCTCCCCCCTCCCCGACGTGATTTCTATTGTTTAAATAAAAGATACCATTTTCAATGTATTTTTGCGCACTGAACACGTATCTGGCAATTAAATTACTTTATAACGTCAGGTTTTTGAAAAAAGTGTCAAAATTGACGTTTTTTTGACATATTTGTGATTTTTTTTCTAGCAAAGTAACTTTTTTTTTATTTTCGTTTACGCCATTTTAAAGTGTAGCTAACTTTTATCTTTAAAATAGATTTCTTTTAACGCCGTGTGCTTCTTTTTCATCGAGTTAGTCTGCTTAGTCACACCAATAAGAACATTTTGTTCAAAAATGTTTTTGAAGAAAAAAAGTTTTAAGAACTGCGTGATGATTTTAATAACAAGATTTTTGAGATGCTAACTAAGGAGAACACTAAATCCGAATCTGAGTATCAATCATGAAACTTTATCCCTAGGATGGAAAGTAAAAAGTGAAAATTTTAACCATTGAAGTTAATGGAGAAATTTTTCACTTTTCATTTTTCATCCTAGGAAAAAAGTTTCATCATTGACCCCCTGAAGTCAGATTTTCGAAATTCAAAATGAGGGGCCCAGTATAGCGGACCAAAAATTTGTCATTGACAAAAATTTGTCATTTTTTACTTTAATTTAAATTTTAAAAATGTTCACACATATTAATTTTGAAATTTTACACATTTGTAAATAAATTCCGAATTTAAATTAAGTAAAAAATTGTTGTACATAATGTACATTGTATAATACATTGGCTATGTTCCAAAATTCACTGCCAGTGCTGAAAATGTATACTATATGTAACGTAAACTGTAGATTTTCAGCGCTGATAGTGAATTTTAGAACACAGTCGTTGTATACCGTCTTTAATAGTTAAAGTCACTTACAGCACAGAAAGATTGCAAAATGATTGCAGATATATCTCATCGCAATGTTGTAATATTGCAAATAGATTGCGCAATGTCTTTGCAACGTTGTTGCTATGTCATAACATCATAAAAATGTCCGCCTTCATCAAAATTGCGCTGTAATGTCGTAGCAATGTTGCAGCGCAATGTATTTGCAACTATTATTAAAAATAATTCTTTTATTATTATTGAATATAATTTGAAATATAATTTGTAATATAAATAAAATGAATGCAGAAAAAGAACTATAACACAGGCCTGCAACATTGGAGGTGTTGAAAGTTGATTAGAGTTTAACAATGTTTTCTTACGTAATTTTTCGCGCTGAATTCGAATGCGGCTGCAGAATTGCTCTATCAAGATTTCAAAATATCCTAAATTAAAACTGCCAAAAAAGCCGTTTTTGAAAATACCCTTTTTCTTAAATCACGAGTAACAAAAAAATCGTAGGAACATTTTTAAAAAGCGATTTTGCAGGAAAAACTTCAAGGTTTCACGATAGACAGAAAATTTTGGCAAATATTTTTGAGCATGTAACAGGCCTACTAATAAGTAAGAAGAAAATTTTCTTTTTTTTTTCAGCCTGTTTTCTATATGTAAAAATTATCGAACTTACAGAAACTAAAAACATATAGTAATTTCGAAAGTAGAGATTTCAAGCTTTAAAAGCCTTTTTCTTTTAATTTAAATTTCGTTCATTTTTAATGAAGATATTGTGCATACAATTTTGAGCTAAAGAAAAAATGACGTTACTTTCGACTAATCCAATATGTATTTCTTTAATTCTACAGCTTATGAAAATGATAAATTTCACTGGATTGAATAATGTGACGTTACATAGTTGAAAGAATTAACTTATAATCAAGAAGTTCATTATACTTACTTTTCCGGTAAGATACGTGGTTTGGCATAATCACCCGGCCATTCATACAAATTTGGCAGTGGACTGTCATAGTTGGCATCGTACATCTTACTTATAATGAATTGTCGCTTATCTTTCGGCTCCGGATATTCACTTGCTAAACCACCTGTAGATATAACAATAGATAATATTAAATAGTATTTTATACACAATTCCTAAATTATAACAACACCAACCTTTAGCATAAGCATAATCAGCTATTTTTACCGCGATGTCGATAGAACACTCGCGAATATTATTTAATGGTGGATATAAACTACCCCTTTCAAGATCCTCATTTTTTACATGATCGGCGACAGTTTGTGCCGAAATCAAGAATAAATCTTCAGTAATATGATGTACTCCGGTTGCAATAACGCCTAAAGCAATGCCAGGAAAGATGTACGCATTATTACCCTGTCCAGGCTTATATATTTTCCCATTATATTTTACTTCACCGAATGGCGAACCCGAAGAGAATACACATCTACCCTAAAACATAGATGGTTAGTCTGACGAATGAATTTAGTATGCAAAAAAGTAAAATTATCATTGTGTTATTTAAGATTTTATTATATTCATACATTGGTATGATCATACGCTTGTTGTGCCGTACATTCAGCTTTACTGGTTGGATTACTTAAAGCGAAGATCAACGGTCTCTCATTATTTTTTGCCATTTCCTTTAAGACTTCAGGAGTAAATGCCCCTGCCGCCGCCGAAGCACCTGTGTGAACATTTCAGTTCTATACCAAGATTGTTTTTCTTTGAAGAAACCTGCTTACCTATCAAGACAGAAGGTTTGATTTCTTTCACAACTTCGATTAATGTCTTCATCACTTTGTAGTCCTTCGCGTACCAAATCTTGTGGCCTTCCAAATTACCTTCGGGCCGATTCTTTACGAGTAACCCATCAATATCCATCATCCAAATATTATTGCGCGCCTGTTGTTGAGTGCAACCGTCAGCCTCCATTGCTTTGACACAAAGATCAGCAATTCCAATAGCTGCCTATAATCAAGTAAAATAAATATTGTTATAATGCGATCTCAAAACAAACATAAATATTCAGTACCTTCAAAATAAGGCTATTACATTATCTTGAAAATTTACAAACCTCTCCGGCACCAAGGAAGACAAACTTATTATCTGCCATTCTTTTCTTAGTTATTCTTTGCGATGCTAAAATTCCAGCCACAGCAACCGCAGCTGTACCTTGTATATCATCGTTAAACGTACAATATTTATTTCTGTATTTGTCTAAGAAACGGAAGGCATTATGGTTTCCGAAATCTTCGAACTAAAATACAGAAAGCTTGCAATATTACGTGTACGTATCATAAGGTCATTTAACAAAATTTGGGTTAAAGACGTAATACATTATATATATTTAAAAATGTGCACACGTTAGCTTACTTGAATAAGAACGTTTTGTCCATACTTTTGCACGCAGGCAGCCATAAATTCGTCGATTAATTCATCATACTCGGCGCCTTGGCTCCTAGACTTATTAAGACCAATGTAATGAGGATCATTTCTTAGCTGTTCGTTATTAGTGCCTACATCAATAGCAATTGGGAGACATTGATGCGGTTTGATACCAGCCAGAGCTGTATAAAGTGCCAGTTTTCCAACGGGGATACCCATGCCGCAAGCTCCGAGATCACCGAGACCTAAAATTCGCTCGCCATCTGTCACGCAGATGGCCCGCACCGCTTGTTCTGGCCTAAAAATGCGATGGAAATCATCGTGATCAACAATGAAGATAAATTAATACCCCATACTATACGTAAAACAATTTCTTCTCACTCCAAACACGCGCTTTCCGTTTAAACTCTATAGAGTGCTCCTTACAATCTCTTTCCTTACAATAATGATTATATAAAGAATGGAAGTAACTCGTTACTTATAGCGAAGTTACAGTTACAAGTTACTTTTTGGGTAACTTTACTGGTAACTGCGTTACTTTATCTTTTTGGTAGTTACATTTTTTTGGTAACGGTAACGAATTTTACAATTACTTTCATCGTTACTTAGCACACGATTGGATAGAAATGTAAAAAAACGGTATTTTTTACTTCGGAGAAATCAAGTAAAAAACTAGGTTTTTTACTGTAAATAATGGTATTTTTGACTAAATTACATAAAATTCATAAAAAAAAAACAAGTTATTTCAATATAATTATTGGAACGACAGATATTTTATATATTTAAAAGTTAAATAAGTGATGTTATTAATACAGATAATATACTTTATAAGCATAATAGATACTTTTTTGTTGCATATTGGTTGTAATTGTACTCTATATTTTAATTATTTTAAGACAACATCCCATAAAGTACAGTATACGGAAGTAAAATGTCATTCAAATAATAGTGAAAAGTAAGGTATATTTATAGTCATCGACATTATACTATATTTTAACTTTGTAACTATTTTCACACAGTAATCTTACGAATAAGTGCAAAAACTAAATTCTGGAGCAATAATACAGCGTCGAAATCGTGAAATGTTAAAAAAAATTATTCGAGTAAAAAAACTGTCAAAGCCGAAGGAAAAAAATCATTATTTCCCAAGTTTTTTACCCTAAAATTCTAGGATTTTTCCATCGTTTACATCTCTACGATTGGACATGGTTCAATTAGATAACAATAGACACAAGCCACTCATAACGCTTGAAACTGGAAAGCCCCCAAGCACTCGTCCGCTGTGATTGGTGATCATCGTTTTAAAAAAGTAACGGAAAAGTAACGAAAAGTTACTTTTCCAAGTAACGGTAACTGTAACGAGTTATTTTTAAAAATCGGTAATTAGTAACTGTAACTAGTTACTTTTCTACTCGGTAACGAGTAACTGTAACTTATTACTTTTAAATAGTAACTTTCCATTCCCTGTGATTATACTTTTCAAATCAAATGAGTACAGAAGTATTAAATACAGTCGAGGTCAAATCTTCATGTCTAATAACATTTACATATAAATTTTTAAGACATTTTTCAGTTATGTATATAAACTGTACGCCGATTTGTACTACTTATCGGATTTGAAACACGGATCATAAACTATAAAGTTATGACGAAGTAAAATTCGTTCAGTGAACAAAACTTTATTTTTATAAAAGGAACATAACAGATTACTGTTATGATTTCAACACACTACAAGAGGGGCATGAGAAAGTAGGGGTGCAGATACAATATAAGGAATAAGGAATTAGTAATAAGAAATCAGAAATTTTAACGTATCAGAAAATATACGTATTCCGATGTATCCGATTTCTGATAGGTTGAAATTTCTTATTCCTTATTCCTTCTGTTGTGTCTGCACCCTAATAAAAAGTCTTGAAAAACATTACAAAAGCGATACAGAGAGGTCGCGCCCGATGCACGGACGGACTTTGAACTTGAATACCAACGAGATACTATTAAAGACGGTCGGTCCTGTTGCGGAATTCTCTAAACGTTTTATCGACAATTATCGCTATCGCTAACTAACGACAGCCAATGAGAGCTGCCCTTTCTTTCAGGATTGTTCTGCCATTGATTATCGCTAGTTAACGATAGCAATAATCATCGATAAGACGTTTAGAAAATTCCGCTACTGAATAAATTTTAATGACGATCAATGGGGCCCCGGGGGCCTAGGGATAATTGAAGAACGATGACATTATCGACAATTAATAAAAATTTGCGATTATGTAACGTGAACTTGGAAGAATATAACTGGAGTGTCATTATAAAAATATTACAAGAATACTATTGGAATTTTGTGTGATTTATTGCTCGTATCCTAGTAAATAAAATAGACAAGCAAGGAATTGAATGGAATTTAAAAGAATTCATTTTGGGGCTAAAAGTTAATTCTTTTTATACAAATTGAATAACGACTTTTCGACGAGATCAAATTTAATTTGGGAAAAGCATAAAAAGTCTATGCGTTATTATATAGCCAAATTATAATTTATCAATTCATTAAGACAGTGATCTTCAGTATTCTAACAAAGTTTTTAATTTTTCTTCATTCTTTTTCATTTCATATATTCAATCGTTTCTGTTCATTTAATAATTCCATTTCGTTTACTGGGATGATCGATAACTTTATTATTTTGGAGTGATCATGTAAAGAAATTATTTCTTAAGAGTATCTTATTAGGCTAAAGCAATTAAAATCTTTTCATTGCGATATACATCGTCGTATATGATTCATGCCTGATTCCTGCACTAATTTGAAAAATAAATTATTTCGTAATATGTTTTTTAAGACTGATACATAATCTTTCATTTAACATTTAGAAATGATACATTATAATTAATACCATATTCTTGGATGATTCTATAAAGAAATTATTTTTTAAGAGTTTCTTGTAAGATAAGGTAAGATAAGGCAAGATCTTTTCATTGCGATATAAATTGTCATGTACGATTCATGATTAGTTTCTTGTATCAACTTGGAAAATAAATTATTCCGTAACTATGTCTCTTATAAGACTGATAAATGATCTTTCATGAAACAAATTCAAAGTTATAAGTGGCTTCAATAAATAAACAAATTTTAAAGGTACATACAGCCACGACACTCGATATTATTAGTGAAAGTCATTTATTAATTTTGACATTAAAAAGAATATGTAATCTAAACGTTTCGGTCAGATTTTCTGACCATCATCAGTAGTAAAAAAATTTTTCGATTATTCTAATTAGCGCTAGTGTTATAATAATTTGAACTTGTCTTCGCTTCTTCCGTTGTCAACTAAAACGATGACGAATGTTCCAGATCGAGTTCGAACGAATTACTCTACTGTGTCCATAAAATTTCCTTAGTTAAGATAAGGCTGTCCTTATTATATTCGATAGATATACTTATATGATAATTTTTTTCCCGAACGTTATGTATACACAATATTATCAAATACTATATTGAAATTAAATTGTGTTAGAAATTACAAAATTTTTTTTACAAAATTATTAGTTTAAACTTTACATCAATTATAATTAAACATATCTGTGCTAGCAAACAAACGGTAACACAATTATAGTTCGAAATTATACAATATTAATTATATTATTAGAATGGAAAGAATAATCCTCTGCGAGAACGACATACTAACGTGTCACTTCAAAGTAATGCTCTTTTTACTTCTTATTGATGAGAAGAGAAAACTAGAAGAGAAGGAGAACGACTTATTATTTAATGAGAGGGGAATAAAAAAGTTATTGATAATAGAAAGAAATATATCTGGAAACCGGTCTGTGTCACTTTGTTTATTCATACCAAATTCTTGTCTTTTTATATGTATCATCTCACAAGGGAAGTTTCACAACTGTTCGGAACCGATTTGATTCTCCATGAAATATTGTTAAACACAAAAATCTAAGAGACACATATTTTTTTATACGTGCGCTAACTCATGTTTAAGTCGTCTACTTAAGTTCGTATCTTTAGTGCTGAATTGAAACCTTTGAGGTGGAGGGGGATAGCTTATCACTTATATATTAATTATTTTGCGTAATTGTTACGGTAACTTGATATCTTTAATTAAGGGGTCTTGATATTTCAAAAAATTCATTTTTTTGATAATTTTTTATATAAAAGTACAAAATGTCAGAAGGAGTTTTACTATATGGTCCTGGAATTGATGATTCCATGTAAGTTGAAATAAAAAATTGTTATCTCTGTTTTATTCCTCTTTAAAACTTTAAACGCGTTTTTCTCAAAACCACTTTTTCAACATCGGTAGTCAAAATTTCTCCAAAACTATTGCACCGATTGACTTGCACTTTTACACACTTCTTTTAAACATGTTTTTGTAGTCCCTGATCGAAGGATTTATTTTACCTTCGATTACAACTCATTTTACAAGCCAATACATAGCCTAATTTTATGCAAAAAATGACACTTTTTGTAGAAAACGCTACAAAAAATTCATTTTTCAACTTTTTCCTTTTTCCATCGATCAGGGACAATAAATACTCACCTACTTTAAAAAAAAATTTTGATTTTTGATTTCAGATGAAAATTGACAAAGTTATGCTGACTACCGCGAAGGCACTTTTTTATGGACAGTCTACTTAAAAATGTTGCCAACGCCTTAATTTTCAATATTTTTCATTGTAGTTTTCACCAAATATTGTTCACATGTTGTACTTTACATACAAAAAAAAAGAAATTGTCTTCTTCATTTAGTATCTTTTAAAAAAATTAGACAAAATAAGATTTTTTTTGGCCTTCAAGACCCATGTAACCCCTTAATACTAAAAAACAAATATTTTAGTACCAAATTTGTTGGACCACCTAATTGTTTAAGACCACTTCTCTTTTGTGCACCGACCGCGCGACCTATCTATGAGTATGAATTTCTGCCAAACGGAACGAGCACCTAATTCGGCGCTTGATATCTTTAAATAATACTAAAAAACAAACATTTCAGTACCAAATTTGTTAGAGCACCTTATTGTTTAAGACCACTTCTCTCTTGTGAGCCAACTGTTCGACTGACGTCTAAGTTCTGTATATAATATATATTTTCGAAATATTTTAGTAATTCCTTGGAGCACCTAATTAGCACTTAATTCTGATGTATTTGTTTTGTTTGTTTACGCAATAAATGTTGATTTTTTTATTGGGGGGGGCTAACTTAATATTAAGCTAGTCCCCCTCCCTCATTAGTTTTTTTTCTGCTAAATGGTTTGAGCACCTAATTCCGCACTTCAACACCTAATTAGCACCTAATTAGCACTTAATTTTGGTATGTATTAGAATTCATTTATCGCTGGTGGGGAGGCTAGCTTAACAGGGGTAATGTGATATCGCAGATCAAAATCTTTTTGATGCTAATATCGCGGAGAAGCCGACAAATAAAAAGCTTTGATGGAATCAATCTTAAAATATTATTTAGTCTGTTGCGCATTATCCAGTATTATCTATCATGGTTAACGCCATATGCATGTATATAGGTACGTAATACTGAAAACAAGATTATAGCCGTTGTAGAAAATATGGTCACGTGACAATAGCGATCAGACACTTTCAGCAGACTCGAATCATGATCAGTGGACGCTCATAGATCCGCTCCATAACAGTTGAATCTATTGAACGCGACCAATATAAATTTTTTTTAAGCTTTTAGTCTTACAAGAGAACTAACCCAGATGTCTAATTAGTTTTGATAAAGTAACGGTTAGAAGTTATAGTATCCCACCTCCTAAACTAAAATGAATGCCATTCACTCGGAAAATTTGATATTTGTTAAAGAAATGGATTTAAAGTCCGCTATAAGCGGCTCCGAAAATGGGTTTAAATGACATTTTTTCGTAACTTTTTTTTACTTTTTTTTTACTTTTTTCTACATACATGTGAGTAATATACGTAAGTGGAATAGGAAAGAAGACTTAGGACTCGATTCTAGTGGTGGAATTGAATTCTAAACTAATTTTTTCTAAACATCTGGGTAATTTCCTTTGTTAGTTTCATAAACTTAGTATTGTTCAATCGTTCACGTAATAGGATGAATAGTACATCCGTCGTTTTGTCCATCCGAGCTATAAAATTTGTATTAAGGAAACATATACTTTAGGTGACGGCTGTACGAGTTAAAAAATGAATAGGTTTTTAACTCTTTTTCGATTTTTATATAAAGCCCACTACACCACCTCCCAATTTTGCGTCTACTTTAATCAGGAGGGTTCCGATTGTGCACATCGCTAATTGGCCAGTCTAAAGTAAAATGTTCTCATTGGTAAGCAGTGTTATTAAGTATCAGCAGATGTGAGTGGATGTATGCTATCGCACTATGTGCAAACGGGATCCTCCCCTTTGATCCTGTAAAAGGATTTTTTATTTCGTTCAGTCAATTGGGAGATTTTTATAGAACTGTAATGTCTCGATAATTTAGTCACTCCAGCATTTCCTTAAAATTTACATATAAATATTATTAGGTACAAGATTTAGCCTCGACCGTATTTGATCTTTCTTTACTTATTTAATTTATTCATATAGCGGTACAGTTTAACTAATTATTGCTTTTTATTAATCGTGTGACTTATTAAGAGAACGATAAAAGACAGGCTGCAAATGTTTCACCTTTTTACAGACACAACAATAATATTTTGTGTATTTTTTTTTATACTAACCAATTATTCAAGATCTCGTAAATATGGCCTTTATCATATATAGTAATGAAAAGCCCGCGAGGTCTACGATATATCACACCAAACTTTTGACAGGCCAAACCAACGGTAGGTGTATAGACAATTGGCATCATTTGCTCGATATTTTCGCTTAACAAGCGAAAAAATAATCTTTCATTCCTTTCCTAGAAATTATTTCAAAGAAATTAAGAACAGATTTTCTATGAAAAAATAGCTCAAAAGGTATTATTTACCTGAAGTTCCACAAGATACAAATATCGATTTAGATCCTCTGAATATTTCATTACTGAGGCTTTGCATAAAGCCAACTGTTCCTCTTGCGTCTTAAATCTGGGAGGCTGTAGCCCATGTATTCCGAGGGCTATTCTTTCTTTCAGAGTGAACGCCAAGCCCTGTTATTCATCACGAAATATTCACGCTGAGATAATACATTTGCCGTACTTAACCCTTTCGCTACGGCATGGTGGCAGTCCGCTCCGCCAGAGTACCGTCATTGAACGGGATTACGGAACCCCGCGCCAAAAGTGTACACATTATACGTGGACAGTCTTTGGCGTTTAAAACAGAGAATGGAAGAGTTACTCTTCGGTAATATTCTAGAATTCTGTCTTTCTTGCCGATTTTGATTAAATTAGGTTCATTTGACGCATTTTTGCACAAAATGAACGAATGTGGCAAAAAAAGTATCGCTCTGCGGATCTGTGAAGTTAGTACGACATTCTATTAATATAAAAAAAATGATGACAGTTCCAGTAGCACTTTTCATAGTTCTACAATTCTATATAAAAATAAAAATGTTCCGCATTTTTTATACAAAAAAATTAAATATGAAAATATGGCGTGCTGACTCGCAAATGTAGCACGGCACTTTTTGTCTAAAATACAAAAAACCGATAAATATTACCACTTTTGGCAACGGTTCCCGTTAGTTCTAGCAGAGTTTCGTGCTCTACAATCATTTTTAAACAGAGTTTCGGCCGCTACTTTTTAATTAATTTTTTAATTCTGTATCCAGCACGGCACTTGGAGAAAATGTCGTGCTGATTGCTTATAGTAGTTTTGTTTAACAGACTAAAGTAGTTAACGTCAAATGTTCTTGAAGAGGCAAGCTTCAAGTACATACATAGAATCCGAAAAAATAAAGAATTTATTCTGTAATCTTTAGTGGCAAAGGCTTGAAGTATACCAGGCTTCTGTAATAAAAATGGAGGTTTGAAAGAGGAGACGATACATAAGACTGAGCATGAGGTCCGGAGAAAAGACGCCTGCGCTGACAGCAAAAGAAACATTAGCATCTTTAGACTCATTCGTATAAAAAGAGATGCACTCACCACAAGAAAATTTATCACAGAGAGCGTAGGAATTAGCTTTCAGGTTTAATGAAGGAATTTTTATCAAGAGAAGATAAATCATTGTAGAAAAGACGAGAAAAACCGAGGAGTTAAAATCATGTTCAAACATCAAGAGACAAACGGAGCGTTTGATAAGATTTTTAGAATATTTCTGTAAAATGTACTGCTGAAGGAAATCTCCTACATTAGAGAGTCAAAAAAAGTTGATTTTTTTCATAAATCGATAATACAACTCTTCGAGAATATATTCCTAAAATTTTAGAGCGAAATTCGGAGTCCTTCGGTATAAATTCAGCGTTTGTATATACGGGTGGAGAGGGTTGCTTTTGCCTACAAATCGATTGCCTACAGCAC